TTTGGCCGGGTTCTGAGCCATGTTTATAAAGTTGAAAAGTAAAACGTGTCTTAGACAATAGTGTCATGAGACTGTAAAATGAAGTAATTGATTATCTTGGTTAACCATCTGTTGAATGCTATTGCTTTATTCATTGCTTATGTGTGGTTTAGTATATTTCTACTGGGCTGTGGCTCACCCTTTATGGGAACATCATTTTCAGGTTCAGGTGATAAGCTACCTCCAAGGACTTAGCTTGGAAGGACTTGGACTTTGAAGACCATTTCTAGTTATTTGTTTTATTTTATTGTTAGTGCATGTAAACACTCAAGCCTAGGGCTTTATTTATATTTGAGTTAGAACTCATACTTTTGTGTCCAAGTGTTGGCTTGGAAAGATGTAAGCCGTTAGGGCATTTAATTTGATGTTACATGTAATGCTTTTGATAGTAAGACCCTGTTGAGTATTATAATGAATTATTAAAGTGTTTTCTTTAAATAATGCATGTCATTGATATATATAATGGGTTAATTTTTAGGGCGTTACATTATTTACATGTTGTTTCTTGGTTGCCAAACACTCCGTCTCATACAACATCACTGGTCTAATAGCCATTCTATAGAACTTTCCTTTTATTCTAATGGGTACTCGTTTATCGTACAGTACTCTAGACGCACTTCTCCACTTAAGTCACCTCGCCTTAATTCTATAGACCACATCCGCATTAATTTCTCCTGCCGTTGTGATAATTGACCCTAAATAATGAAAATGTTCACTCTTAGGTAGCTCTTGGTTCTCAATCTTCACTTCTCCTCTGCTTTCATTATTACTGTTACTAAATTTACACTCCGTGTATTTTGTTTTAGTTCTGCTTATCTGAATTCTTTTAAATTCAAGTGTTTCTCTCCAAGTCTCCAACTTTGTGTTAACTCCTTCTCTAGCCTCATCTGCTAACACGATATCATCTGCAAAAAGCATATACCATGGCATATCATCCTGAATATTTCTCGTTAACTCATCCATAACTAAAGTAAAAAGATAATGACTTAAGGTAAATCCTTGGTATAACCCTACAGTAATTGAAAATTCATTTGTCTCTCCAACAGGCAATCTAATAGTGGTTACCACTCCTTCATACATGTCCCTAATCACATTAATGTAATCTTTTGTCGCCCATTTCTTCTCTAACACCCAGTAGATTATATCCCGCGGCACTCTATCATATGCTTTCTTAAGATTGATAAACACCATATAAATGTCTCTTTTCTTTTCTCTATACTTTTCTATTACTCTCCTCAAAAGATAGATCGCTTCCATTATTGACCAACCAGGCATAAATCCAAATTGATTATCTGACACCTCTATTATATCTCACAATCGACGTTCCATCACCCTTTCCCACACTTCCATTATATGACACATTAGCTTGATTTCTCTTTAGTTGTTGCAATTCTGGACATCTTCTTTATTCTTATAGATTGGCGCTAAAATACTCTTCCTCCACTCATTTGGCATGTTCCTAGTCAACAAAATCTTGCTAAACAACCTAGTCAACCAAGCAGCCCCCTTCTTACCTAAACACTTCCAAGCTTCAATCTCTTGAAATAAGACAACGAGCAACTCCAAATATTAGTAGCAACCCACAAAGTATTAACAATAATAACCCTAAATTGATTGTATTTCTTAGCACTAGACCCCTTTGAACCTTTTCTTTGGGTTAGTGTTTAATTACCAAAAGAATATACAATGAAGTTCAAGAAATTGTCCAAAAGGCTCATGTAGACATAGACATGGTTGGGCAGGCCAAAAACCTCACAACGGGGAAAACAAATAGACCTAGCCTAGAAAGCGACAAGAGGCTAGGATCATAAAGTGAAAACAATTAGGCCCGGTTGTGGGGGCTGCCATGATTGAATCCTCACCTCTGCATGTGTGTGTCTTCCTCCCATTATGACTGCTATTTTCATGAACATACTCTTGCTAGTACTCTACAGCTTAGGGAGCAATCTGGTCAAACTCTCTACATATGTTGTTGAACACCCAATAATTTTTGATTTTCCAAATAAACTAGCAGATACAAGCCAACAGATCCATAATTTCTGCCCTTTCTGGTCCCTGATCAAATCCCCAATATTCTTCTACCAACTTGCAAACTCAATGTTCAAGACATTTTCAAGTCTGATCTAAAATGGCAATATAACAACCGTGATAAGTCACCAATTTTCCCAAAAGCCTAAACTATTAGGAAATGGGCCCAATAAATGTATATTAGGTTGTCTAACACCCTCCCTCATGTGCAACTCCATCTTGCACGTGGAGAAACAAACAGAGAACCAAACAGAAGGAGAAGCAGACAACCAAACAGAGAAGAAAAAATCAAACGGGGACCGAATACCAAATGTCGATAAAGAGACTTGAACTTAAGACCTTTTTCAATCAGAGCTCTGATATTATGTTAAGTAAGCAATTTTCCCAAAATCTTAAGCTATTAGGGAATGGGCCCAACAATGTATATCAAGCTGTCTAACACCTTTCCTCACGTGCAATCCCATCTTGCACGTGTAGAGACAAATAGAGAACCAAACAGAAGGAGAAGCAGACAACCAAACAGAGAAGATGAAATCAAACGGGGTCCAACTACCAAATTTTGAGAAAGTTTTTGGGATTGGTCCAGTCAAATGATTGTGAGACAAGTTTAGTGCGCGGACACAACTAAGCATTCCTAGTTCAAAAGGTATTTCACCTGATAACTTGTTAGACAACTTGATATACATTGTTGGGTCCATTCCTAATAGCTTAGGCTTTTGGGAAAACTGGTGACTTAACATGGTATGAGAGCTCTGGTTGAAAGAGGTCTTAAGTTCAAGTCTCTTTATTGACATTTGGTATTCGGTCCTTGTTTGATTTCTTTTTCTCTATTTGGTTGTCTGCTTCTCCTTCTGTTTGGTTCTCTGTTTGTCTCTCCATGTGCAAGATGGGGGTGCACGAAAGGGAGGGTGTTAGACAGCTTGATATACATTGTTGGGCTCATTTCCTAACAACTTAGGCTTTTGGAAAAATTAGTGACTTAACAAACCGAACCTTCACTGTGCCAAGACATTTTAAAATCAGATTGGTAACAGTTTTAGGCTGAAGTCCACACACTAGACGCATTTCACCAAATGGAACTTTCCTCTTACTCAAGTTATTTCCAGATGAACAGTTTGATTTTATCCTAAGTCTTCATATGCCATATTCCTTTCCAATTTATTTGTTCTCCATCACTAGCACCAGCTCTGCTAATATCATAATGTTTTGGCAAACCAATTAATAATCAGTTCTGCATCCTTTTGAAATTTATTTCCCTCACAATCTCAACTTTCCATTCATTTTTCCCTATGAAGCACGGGCATGGGTATGGGTATTGGTACTGGTATAATACACGTATGCCAATAGGGAAAATCTATAAAAAGTAAGGTACGAGTACAACTGGATACGTTCACAAAAAAATATTTATTTTTAATTTGAAGTAATGCAAAAATTAGTTAAATGAATTATTTTGTTAGATCCAACCTACAATTCACATTTCATTCCAAAGGTTGGGTATAAACCAAAATTAAATGTCATTATATTAAAAAACTTACAAACCAAAGTTTAATTTTAAAAGCTTGCTAAGCATAAAAAACAAGTCCAATGAAACTAACTTGACCATTGTATAGAAGAAAATTCTATTCCGTTTGAGATACGACATGAGTATATTTTAGGTACGTCTAAGGTACGGCAAAAATTAAGAAGAAAATTTTCGAGTATATGTTTCGTGCACCTGATACATATGCAAAGTACCAGTACCCAATGTGGATACGACATGTTTGGAAAAATGCTTCATAGATTTTTCCTTTCATCAATAAGATGAGCTACTTTAGATAGCAGATAGTCATTGGGCTTCCCAGTTATGATTCAAGGATTATGAGGGTTAGATTGCCATGGTCTAACCAAATATGAGTCTTCTTTCCATTGAAAACTCTCTATCACCATCTTCAATAATTTTCCTCCCCTCCACCTGTGAGGGTTAGCTTAATTGTATTTCCTATTTCAGATTAGGGTTAGGATTGCTATATATATTGGTTGTAATCTTTGAATTAACACAATTTGAATATACAGAAAAGCTTTCAGAAATCTTACATGGTATCAGAGCCGTGTCTGAAACCCTAGCCTTCAACCTCAGAAATTGCGATCGTCATCAATAGAAGTCGCAATCGTTGTGCGACCTGAGATATCACGTTGCCATCGTCACTCCTTCACTTTGTCTTCTTCATCGTGACCGCTGGTCTTCTATCTAAGTTTAAACTTAAACTATCCATTTTATAAAACAAAATGTGATTTGTTAATCTATTTATTGATATTCGCTAAAGCTAATTTTTTGTACGGACAGTTTTCACTGCAAGATTTAAAAGATGAATAGTTCAGATGATCATCTTTGTAGGCCTAGAGTGGGGCCACAAAATGGAATACAGATGAATATGGAAGATAGTGGTGTGGGGAGAAGCCATTCTCTATGTCATTAGTCAAAGCTCGACCCAAAGTGTAAGGCGTAGATCTAGACACAAGATTTCTTGTTATTAATGACATTAATAGTAATACTCTAACAATTTCTAAGTGTTCTTATACAATGCTTTTCCTCAGATATGACAGATATTATAATTTCTATTGGAGAAAAAGTTGCTCAATTATTAGTGGATCCAATTGCATGCCAGTTCAATTATGTCATCCACCGAAAGAAATACATTGAAAATTTGACAATCCAAGTTGAAATGTTAGAGGCTTTGTGAAATAGGGTGCATGGATCCATTGATCATGCAAAAAGAAATAGAGAAGAAATTCAAGAAGATGTAAAGTACAGGATCGAAAAGTTAATGGGTTCATAGTGGAGGCTAAATTTTTTCTAGAGGGCTATACCAATGTGAACACGATGTGTTTCAAAGGGTGGTGTCTTGATTTGGTCACACATCGCCGACTAGGTAGAGAAGCAAAAAATAAAACAGATGGCTAAAGAGTTAGGAAAAAATGGCAACTTCAATAACATATTCAACCCTGCTCCTCCCTTGGGGATAGAGTCCACACCCTCTCAAAGGCTCGTGACTTACGCAACTAGAAATTTGGCAATGCTGAATATAATGGAGGCATTGAGTGACGACAGGATCAACTTCATTGGAATACATGGTATTGGGGATGTTGGAAAGACAACATTGGTAACAAAAATTGGCAAAAAAGCTAAATCAGAGAAACTTTTTGATGAAGTTGTGATGGTTGTTGTGTCTAAGAACCCAGACATTAAAAGGATTCAAGATCAAATAGCTTGCATGTTGGGTTTCACCAGATTAATTGATCAACCAAATGAGATTGAAAGAGCAAACTTGTGTGCAAGACTCAAGGATGTGAAGAAGATCCTTGTTATATTGGATGATGTTTGGGCCAAACTTAATTTAGCAGTCGTGGGTATTCCATTTGGCGATGATCACCAGGGTTGCAAAATCATAATCACAACACAACGTGAGCAATGATGCCGTTCCATGGGAATGGAAAGGGAAAGGATAAATATTGTTCATCTTGATGTTTATCTGAAGAAGATTCATGGGATTTGTTCAGAAAGAATGCTGGCAATGTCGTTGACTCTAACGTGGTGAATGCTATCGCTAATGAGGTTTGTAAAGAATGTGGAGGTCTGCCTATAGCACTTGTTACAGTTGGTAGTGCAATGAAAGGTAAAGATGACCCTGATTTATGGAACAAGGCAGCTTGGAATTGAGAAAATCAGTGCCAACAAACATTGAAAGTGTTGATCAACAAGTGTATAGAAGTCTTAAGTTGAGCTATGACTACCTGCAAGATGAGGAAGCCAAGGCTTGCTTCTTGGTTTGTTCTTAGTTTCCCAAGGATTTTAACATCTTAATAGAAGTAATAAAAGGCTTGGTATGATATGAGATGGGGTTGAGGCTATTAAAAAATGTTGATACTGTACAAGAAGCTAGGGGAAGAGCAAAATCAGTGATCAACAACCTCATAGATTCCTGCTTGTTATTAGTCAGTGATGAACGAGGTTGCATCAAAATGCATGATCTTGTACGTGATGTTGCCATAGTAATTGGATCCAGTAAGTATTTTGTAAGAGTTGGTTGTAGTTTGAAAGATTGGCCAATGGATTGTTTGGATCAATATGATGGCATATCATTGATGAGAAATAAAATCAGTGACCTTCTTGATGTCTTAGAATGTCCAAAGCTCAAAATATTATTATTACAATACAACAAAATTACATTGTCTTGCTCACATGAATTCTTTTCAGGGACGAAGGCACTGAGAGTTTTAGATTTGAGCCAAGATTTCTACCTTCCATTTTACAATCCAATTCGGCATCCTAATGCTTTCAATGACCTGACATGTTTTCGAACATTAATTCTTGAAGGAATTAAGATTCAAAACACTAAATTTCTTGGACAAATGAAGAAACTTGAAGTCCTTAGCTTCAGGTGTGCCTTCTTTTTTGAGGCACCAAATGCTATAAGGGAGTTAACTAAGCTAAGGTTGTTGGACATGACTTATAGCCATAATGAATTTCTCATTCCAGCCGATGTGCTATCACCTTTATCCAATTTGGAGGAGTTGTACTTGTTTCAAACCAGATCTAAGATGATGGATGAGGACTCTGCAGTAGAAGTAGCTGTTGCACTAAGAGCTTGGCCTTGCCTAAAAGTGCTAACCATTTCCATACCCAACATTGCATGTGTACCTAAAGACTTTGTTGTTCCTGAGCTGGAAAGTTTTATTATTTTTATCGAAACATCAAGTGGGGTAGGTGATTATTCCCCAAATTATTTGGAACTTGTAAATTTGGTTGGACCCATGGTTAATTGGAGTAAATGCTTAAAGTTGTTGTTGAAGAGAGCTACACGTCTACTTTTGGGGCATTTGCAAGACATGAAGGACATTTTTCCTAATTTACAAGCCAATGTAGATGGTCTGAATGTCTTGGAGCATTTGAGCATTGAAGATTGTTCTCAATTCGAATACTTGATCAACATAGAGGAATGTGGGATTTCACCACATGCACAACCACCAGATCTACAATTGCTCTTTAACTTGGAAGAATTGGAACTCGTCAAATTGGATACTTTCAAAGGGATATGTCCAGGTGCACTTACTACTTTAATCTGGACATGCTTCCCGAAGCTTAGAAGGTTGGAAGTTTACGAATGTCCTGAACTATCAACTGTTCTTCCATTCAATTTGCTTCAAAGGCTACAACATTTGGAGAGACTTTTAGTAACAGAATGCGCAATTTTGGAACAAGTATTTGATTGTGGTCTTGAAGAAGAAGGCTTGCAGTTGCTTTCTAGTTTGAGAATATTTTCACTAGACCGCTTGCCTAGATTGAAGCAGATATTGAATTGCTCCAGTTGACATGTGCAACTCCGTAGCCTAAGATTTATGTATGTCAATTCATGTGCCAAACTGAAATATGTCTTCCAACCTTCCATAGCTCAAGCTCTTCATCAACTTGAAGAGCTTTTTGTAAGTGACTGTGAAGAAATGGAGGAAATTGTTGCAAAGAAAAATGAAGGGCAAGAAGAGAGAGTGGACAAGATGATGTTCAAAAGTCTAAAAAAAATCAAGCTTGAACACCTTCCAATGCTAAGTGGTTTCTACACAGGAGACTTTCCTTTTGAATGCCCATCCTTGGAAGAACTTATAGTGAGAGATTGCCCCAAAATGAAGACTTCCGCTGCCACTGCACCAAAACTGAAGGTAGCTATATTGGATAACTTAGAGAAAACACTACAAGGGATGGACTTGAATCAAGTTGTGCAAAATCATTCAAAGCAAAGGTACTTTAGTTTTAAACGTTAACCTATATAAATATATCTCTAGTAATTACATATATTATCAACTAATTTTTTTTTGGATAGTGCTACAATACACACCCCTTTTTAAGGGGTGTATCATATGCAAGGTATGATACCACAAAGTGTCATAATCAAATCCCTTTGTGTCATAACTTGTTGGATCATAACCAAACACCTTCGATGCATAACCAAAGGCCTCTTCGGTCATAACTAAAATTACAACCACAATAGGTCATAATTGAGATATAACCAACACCACAATGTGTCATAACCAAATACCAACCAAAGACCTCTTTGGGCATAACTAAAATAACAACCACAATAGATCATAACTAAGGCTCCATTTGGAAACTTAACTATTTTAGCTTGACTAAAAAAGTTATATTCGGGATGATAGTTGACTTTTTTTTGTAGTTGATTTGATAATTGTGAGAAAAAAAAGTGTAATGATTATGGTTTGGATGTGACATTTTGTCTTATTAGATATTTTAGACTATTTTGTCTTTATTGACTATTTTAGCCAAAAAAGCCAAAAATCAGCTTCCCAAATAGGGCCTAAGTCATAAACAAAACCACAATGAGTCATAACCAAATCACAACTAACACCACAATAGGCCATAACCAGTACATATGGTACACACTTTTTTTTTTAAGGTGTGTACTATAGAATTTTCCATTTTCTTTATTATAAGTAAATTTTAAATTGAGTCCTAGAGACCTCTAATAAACTACAACAATACTACATAAAAAAAATTACTTTGAAACTGCCCAGAAAAGTAAATCAATGGACTACGTTCATTGTGTGTATGTGGCTCACACCCCACTAACTTTAAATCTACATCATGCACCTCACTTGCGGAGTAAGTTTTGGGGTAAAAATTTATGGTTCATAGCCTTTTTGAATAAACTACAAACTAAACCATCAACAACTCACAATGAGGTGTGGGCCTCACATCTATATAGGTATGGAGCCCACACTTGTGACTTATTGGTAATTTAGTTTGTAGTTTAGGGATCTCTAGTATTTTTGGATTAAATTTAGAGCAATACTACATATACAAAATTCTTACATTGAAAATATTCAGAAAATTTAATATGTAGTTTAGATTCATTCAAAGTGTAGGCTCCACCACATAAGAGTTGAATTTAAATCACACATTATTTTTCTAGATTTGTTTCTATGCTTGAATTCTGTGCACGTATCTTTACAGTTAAATTTATTGCCCAAGTTAATTTACAAAGAAAGCATTCCTCTATGAATTAATTTACATTAATACTCTATGGACTTAGTCAATCAGTGGTAGGCTAACTCTCCCCCAAGGAAACATTTCATAAAGAGGCCTTGATTACATTTAAATAATCTTGTTTAATTTTTTTTTGTTACAATTTTTAATGTAAAATTTATAGTTCTCGTCCATTGTTGTAATTAAAATTTGGAGAGGCTTTTAGACAATGAGAGTTTTATTTTTACGTTTATTTTTAAATGGTAGTTTGTTGGATAAGGAAAATTTATTTTTTATTGACCTTATGGACAATGAGTATTCATTTAAGCTTTTATTATCAAGGGCCTTAAGGGAGGTTTTTTTTAATCAAACTTTAGTATTAGGATCTTTGGACAATGAATGTTTTGTAGGCATTTTGGTAAGGATAAATTACATTTATGGTCCTTAAAAATATGCTTTTGTGCCACTTGGGTCCTTCAAGTTTCAATTTTATCAATTTCGTCCTTAAAATTTTAAATTTGAGTCAATTTGGTCCAATTTTAAATGGACCGTCTAAATAGATAACATAATGATAATAAAATATACATATGATCCTTAAAGTATGTATTCCGTGTTACTCTGGTCCTTAAAATTTTAATTTTGTCAATTTGGTCCCGAAACATTGATAAAGGAGAAGATGAAATATAAATTACAACATTGACGGACTAAATTGGCAAAATTGAAACTTTGAGGACCAAAATGACTCATACCTTATACTTTAGGTACCATAGTTGAAATTTATAATTATTTGCAATTGGACCAATTTGACTCAAATTGAAAACTTTAAGGATGAAGTTGACAATTAAAATTTTAAGGACCAAGTGACACAAAAATGGAACACATATTTTAATAACCGTGAGTGTATTTTATCCTTTGGGTAAATATGGAAAACACAGGGTTGACCTAGTGAATAAAGGTACTACCTTCTCCTATACCCCTCATATCAATTGTAAAAATAAATAAATAAATAAAGGAAGGAAGAAGAAGCCAAGGATAGATTTTTATTTTGATTATTTATTTTTTAAATTTTGCCGAGTGTTTAGATAAATAACATAAAAATTTCAAGTCTTTTAAAAAGTGGATCCTTAGGCGACGAGCACTTTAATAGCCTAATGATTGTATAAACATTGAGTTAATACTTGGAGTGATAGAAAGTGTTATTTGCCAAAAAGTGGGGGAGGGGGAGGAATGCCTACTGCTGCCTCTCTTAGACCAATCTGTGGTCCTTATGCATTGTGTATGACCTTTATTCAATCACCAATTAATCTAAAAATGTTGTGAGATTTCAATATAAATTTTGCTATCTTCAGAAGGAATAAATAAAATTAGGGTAAATTTTACTTTACCTCCTTATAGTTTGGGTTATGTGCCGATTGTCTTAGAAATAACCACGTAAACCCCACGCGGTTATGGACTAAAGAGCATATTAACTTTTGTTAATCGAACATATAAATTAACCTTTATACCCTTATTTTCTTCATCTCTTTTCATCCGAATTAAACCTATATATATATATATATATTTTATTTTTCTTCTTCCATGGTTGCCAACTGTAATGAATTCAATTTCGACTTCGGCAATCAACACCCAAGTGTCGCACACAAGATTGCAAACCCTACCCATTATGTTTTTACTTCCATTGTTTGATCTGCATCTGCTGTGTGTATATATATGTATGTATGACTGCTATTATTCAATTGCAAGAGATGAGCTGCCATTGGTATCAAGTTAAGATAGATTTTAATGGAAATCATTTAATTACTAAGTAATTACAAATCGTCATCTTCTCACCTTTCTCAAAATTCAAACTTTTACCATCAAATATCAGCTGGCTATGTAACAGGACTAGGCTTGAGCAATCGACGACTGGTGCCAAAGCATTGTGTGAGTGCACAGAATCCACAACCCCAATGACCAAAATGGCAGACTTCGTGTTTAGGATTTGCTGATGATAAGGGCATTGTTTGGACTGGTTCTTAGATTGCATATATTTTCTAAAAAAATTAGTTCTTGTACAACAAGCAACACCCACACACCATAAAACTTATACATCTTTTTGTAAATACTAAGATTTGATTACAAACAGTTACAATAATATACCAATAGAGACTGCAGCTGATGTTGATAGGGGGAGTTGAAAAAGGAAAAGAACAGAAGGGAGGAGGAGTAGAGAAAGAAGGGAAGGAGAGCAAAGCTGCTAATGGTTGGGGAGGAAAGAGGGGGGAGAGACAGAGAGAGGCAATAGAAATAGGAAAAAAAACAATGGCATCTTTTTGTAAATATAAAGATGTAGAAAGGGTATTTTTGTTTTAAAAATTGACTTACGCTCCATAGAAGCGCATGGCTCTCACATTCTGTTATCTTTGGACGGAAATACTAACGGTACATTTTAGTCTACAAACCACATGGGGGGTTGTGAGGTTATTTCCTAATGACAATGAGACAATCCACATATGGCTCAAACCATAAGAGGTAAAGTAAAATTTGCTCATAAAAGTCAAAATGTCAAAAAGTAACTAAAAAAGCCAAAAAAACAACCTATATCAAAAAGTAACTAAAGTTTTTTTTTTCTTTCTACTTTTTGCACATCTTTTCGTAAAAAGCCAAAAAGTCACCCCAAATATATTAATTTTTTTTACTTCATATTTTAGTCAAAAAACCCAAAAGTTACTAAAATAGTATGTTCTTGAATGAGGCCACACATTTAAGCCTATTCGAACATGCACTCTTGATATTTTTGCTAGCTTCTGAAATCATGCATAGGTTGTTTAAGGATCTTGATACCATCCAGACAGAATATTATCTGGTTTCCCACAATTTTGTCGTTGTCAATGTTTCTTATCATAATCTTACCTTCATTGTTTGTTTGTTTTTTCCCAGGAAATACTGACTGGTACTCTTGAAAATGAACTCCATACTGAATCTTAATAAGATTATGAACAAGATGATGAATTTATGCAGATTTTTGGAAACTATTTTTGGAAAACACCAAAAAGTTATTTTCAAATTTTTGGAAACTATTTTTGCACCAAAATGAAAATAATATGAATGCAATGGGTGTTAAAATTTCATTTTTTTGTTGTTTCCAAAAACTGAAAAAAAAGAAAAAAAAAGAAATGAACATAATATGTACTAAAATGTAGATAGCTCTACCCTTAATGGACATATTGCTAGTTTATTACTAAGTTTTCATTTTCTTGGTGCAGTTGTCAACCATAAAGAAGACTGAGCCCCTCCCTATGGTGATGTGATGTCTACCTTACTTTGGATGTCATTGTGTAAGGGCATATGCTTC